TATGAGATGGACAGGATAACTAACATTTACTGAACACTTACAATTTATCCAAAACTATAACTCGTACTTTAGGTACATTTTTCCTAATCACCGAAGCAATCCTTGGAATTATGTGTTGTTTCTATAGGAGGATACCAGGGCTCAGGGACATTAAATGACTTCTTGAAGCGTCATAGAGATTGAAGTTTAGGTCTCTTAACTCCCAAACCTACTCTTTCTCAACCATAACCAGCATTTTACTCCTTTTTGCCCCAAATAAGCAAGTATGGATGATTGCTAGGAGTAAGATATCCTTAGAGTGGCCAAACAAGGATGTTTGACTTTCTCTAGTTCAGAAGTTCTTATGGCCTTTGTTATTCTAAATGGAAGCTTTTCCTCTGAGAATATTTTTTTCCCCCAGAGACCTGTTACAGGAGTTATTATTGTTGTGTAATTGCAGTAACGTTGGCTTACATTGTTGTTGGTATTTTGGAAGTATATGATACCCCCTCCCTCTTTTTCAGGTGTAGTGTACCCACCACCAAATCAATTTTTAAAAAAACTTACATTTTAAAATAATTTTAGATTTTCTAAAAATTTGCAAAAACAATACAGAGTGTTCTAGTATAGCTTCATTCAGCTTTCCTGGATGCCAGCCAGGAAACTGATATAATACTGTTAACTAATCTGTAGACCTTATTTAATTTTGCCAGTTTTCTCACATATGTCCTTGTTTCTGTTTCTAAATCCAATCCAGGATTTCACATAACACCTGGTTGTGTCTTAACTCTTCAGTATTCTTCAACCAGTGAAACTCAGTGCTTTGTCTTTCATGATTTTGACCTTTTTGATGACTATAGGCAAATTACTTTGTGGAATGTACCTCAATTAGGTTGGCTGATTTTTGCTCATGATTAAATTGAAGTTATCCATTTTGGAAGAGTAGCAGAAGTGATTTGATCCTCTTGCCTCACCTGTAGTCATACTGGGGGACCATGATACTATGTTTTATAACTGACAGTGTTAACTTTGAGAACTTGATTAAAGTGGTTTCTGCCATGTTTCTGAGAATTTTTTGTTTATATTTATATGTGTGTGTGTATACATATATACATGTATATACATACACACAAACTTTTCAAATTTGAAATCTTTTGACTGGATTATTGAAATGTTCAAGTACATTTTGTTAAACTATGTAAATGTTTGTTGGCTGCTTTTATCGGGTATAATACCTCATTTTATAAAAAGGCTAGATTCTGAGATCAGTGGGTAAAAGTAAAACTCTCTTTGTTGAGAGTTTTACAAGGACCGAACAACTCTCCTGAATTCAATCACAAAGACATGAAAGATTATATCTCCCTATCAGATAGTTTGTTGCTATAATAAAGAAAATCAAAGAGATAAATTAAAATGCAGAAAGTCAAGTCAAAGTGATATGAGAGAACTCATAAGCTAACCGAGGAAATAAAACTTGGAAAAACGAGTAAGCTCAGAAATAAAATTAATGAGCACAAAGTAGGTATTTTAACTTTAAGTAAGAAAATAACAGAGATTCAGGATGTAAAGAGCATAATCAAAGAGATAAAATCCAGAGAAAGCTTATAAAGCAGAATTGACCAAATGAAGATGTCAGTGACATGAAAAATAGTAATACACAAATGAACCATATGAAAAAAGAGAAAAATAAGATTTTTTTTTTAATGAAGTGCCTCGAGAACTATCTAAGTCTCATCTTAAGGATAACATATCAAAGAAGAGGAAGAGAGAAGGGCACTGAGAGCTTATTCAAAAGTAATGGAGAAAACATTAATATAAATGAACTGAATCACCAATCAAAAGGCACAGAGATGCTGGCCGGCTTATAAAACAAAGCCGAACTTTCTGTTGTCTTCAGGAGATCCCTCTGACTGCCAAAGATAAACATAGACTCAAAGCAAAAGTTTGGAGAACAACCCTGCCAGCAGTTGGGACACTAACACAGGAGTGACAGCGTACTTATGTCAATAAAAAAGACTTCCAGGGCCTCCCCTGGTGGCGCAGGCGGCTGAGCACTGCGCTGTGAAGCTGTTTGCAGCCTCTGCAGTGCCAGTTCGATCCCTGCCGGCCACGCAGCAACCCGCATGGCGAGGCAGACCTCTCCTGTCTCACCCGCTGCTCCCCTCAGCAGTGTGTTTCATCAGTCTGCCTGTTCTGTTCCCCGCTCTGGCTCTGGTGAATCCTCTCACCCTCCCATGCATCTGGCCTGTACCCCGGTTCTTATATAAATAAATAACTAAATAAATCTTAAAAAAAAAAGACTTCCAGCTAAAAAAGGTAAACAGGATGGATATTATATAATGACTAAAGAATCAGTACCTCAAGAGGAAATAATACTTACCAATTTACATGTGCCAAATGAAGGAGTATCAATATATATAAAGCAACAATTAACAAACCTAAAAATGGACATTAACAGCAACAAAATATTTGTAGGTCTTCAGCACCCTCCTTACATCAAAGGACAGATTAACCAGACAAAGTCAGCCTTACAGGAGACATTATGCTATATGGGCTTAATAGAAATTTATTGGGCATTGCACCCCCCCAAAAAAGCTGAGTATACATTCTTCTCCGGTGCACAGTCTCAAACATAGGCCACTTGTTGGGACACAAAACACGTGTCAGTAAATTTAAAAAGATTGAAATCATATCAAGTGTCTGATCACAATCATATTAAACTTGAAACTAGCCAAAAGAAGAAGGTGGAAAAGAACCTTCACATATATGGAAATTAAACAACATGCTAGAATGATTATAGGGTTAATGGGGAAATCATAGAAGAAATTAAAAAAATACCTGGAGACAAACATGAAGACCTTCCAGAATGTATGGGCTGTAGCAGAAGCAGTACTTAAAGGAAAGTATATAGCACCACATTATGAAACAAGAAAGATCTCAATAAATAAATAATCTAACCTTTTACCTTCAGGAACTAGAAAAAAGAAAAGAAATGAAACTAAATGCCAATAGAAGGAAATAATGAAAATAGAGTAGAAATCAATAGAAAAAAGATGCATGATGATTTTTTTCTTATTACTCATATTAACAGTATTTCTTTTATATAAGAACAGATTATCAAAAGATTAATGAAACCAAAAGCTGACTCTTTGAGAAGATGAGCAAAATAGACAAACCTCTATAGACTCATTATGAGAAAATGGAGAAAACTCTAAGAAATGGAATCCAAAATGAATAGGAAATATTGCAGCGGATGAGTGAGAAATACAAACGATCATAGACACAAGTATGAACATCTTTAGGCCAGTAAATTGGATAGCCTAGAAAAAAATGGATACATTTTTAGATGCATACAACCTGCCAAGAATGAACCAGGAAGAGATAGATACCCATAACAAACCAAGAAAATCAAAATGTGAATCAAATATCTCCTAAAGAACAAAACCTCAGGATTAGATGGTTTCACTAGTGAGCACCACCAAAACTTCAAAGAGGAACTAATACTTATCCTTTTCAAATCTGAAAAAATTGAAGGGGAAACACTTCCAAATACATTTTATTTTATTTTTTATTTTCATACAAGAGCTGGGGTACAGGCCAGAGGCACGGGAGAGTGAGAGGATTCACCAAAGACAGCAGGGAACAGAACAGGCAGAAGGACCGAAGACACTGCTGAGGGGAGCAGCGGGTGAGGCAGGAGCGGTCTGCTGCACCATGTGGGTATCTCTCTGGCCTGCTGGGAATCGATCTCGCATTGCAGAGGCTGCAGACGGCTTCACAGCACACGCTCAACCCGCTGCGCCACCGGGGAGGCCCAAATACATTTTATGAGGTCACTGTCAACCTAATACCAAAACCAAATAAGGTTATCAGAAAAAAAGAAAAAAAAAATAGAAACTGCAGTCCAGTATCTCAATATCTCCAGCTGTTTATATTGAGAACCTCAGGCTCAAGCCAGTAAAGCTTGCTCTGCACCCACTGGCATGCCATCTCCGGGTACCAGCTCTGCACCTCTCTTTATTTAGTACACTGCTGGGTCTTCAGGAGCCCCCAAAGTTGGTGTGTGCTCCTGAGTCAGGAACTGTGCAGAACACCCTTCACTCTTCTGTGTCGGGCAGTCCCTGTATCGCTAGCAACACAGTTCTCTTAAGTTTCTCCTACTGCTTTCTGCCAAACTGTTTCTCTTAGTCTGTGTTGTGGTCCTCTATTTTTCTTTCAGGGGTTTTTGGCTTTATTCTGCTGAAATGTAGTTGTGAATATTTGGAGGAGGCAAGCCAGTGTCTTCATCATCTTGCTAGACTTCTACAATCATTCTTTTTAATGTTCAATTTAGTAAAACTTTAGCTGATTATAGTCCCCTTGTAATTATGTCTGCTAATTATAACTTGATAAGATTTTGAGTGCTGCTTTGCACTCCTTGATGGATCAGTTCATCTTATAGCTTCCTTGCCCCAAATGTCAATGAAATTTACTGAAAAGAAAAATATATAAAATAATTAAATAAATAAAGAAATTTAAATTAAAAAAGAAATTTACTGTAAAGTCCTACTTCATTTCACTGGAGAAAGATAATGGACATAGAAATCCTGGCCCTTAGAATTTCAGTTATTACTAGGGAGACAGTTTATAGATCTTTTCAGTATCCTGTTTAGTTTTTGAATTTTGATAATTATAAGTTTGAATAATTAAGATTCAGATAGTTAGGAATGTCTGTTTAAAAAAGCAATGAGTTCGTATTGCTGTTACCAATTCAGTTATAACATTGTTCTAAGTGGCTACTTGATGTCATAATTACATATTTTCTCTTACACTGAAATTCTTGACCACTAATAGCATTGCTTTATCTTATAAAGAAATTAATTTTTAAAAAAATCCACTACTAATACTTCCAATAAAACCCCAGAAAGCTAAAACTTTTTGTGATAATCTTTTTGTATAGGTTGAATTTAATGGAAATTTTTTTTTATTGATCTCTTTACTTTCCATTGAAATTTATCTGATTTATTTTGCTTTTATTACAGGTTGATCATTTTGGATTTAACAATGATAAGACTTTTAAACAACGGTACCTAGTAACTGATAAGCACTGGAAGAAAGATGGTGGAACAGTACTTATCTACACTGGTAATGAAGGGGACATTACCTGGTTTTGCAATAATACGGTATGTGGAGACTTACGAAATTCCTATGCTTGCTTTGTCTTTTTGTTATCTTAAAGTAGAAAAAAAATGTTTTGAATATATATGACCAAGTATTACTTTACTTGTGAATTTTTAAAATTATAATTTTGGGTTACATTTTTACTTGTTCATATGTATACATGTTCAGTTTTCTACCAAAAAGCTAAGCTATGAATTGCCTTTAAGTGTGGACTCAATCATGTTTTTTCTGTTGCTGATGTCCTGCATGGTACCAGATACTCAGCAACTGCTTGTTGAACTCAGCTGAATTGAATTGAAAGCAAAGATACGAACCCAGTTACACACTCTAATTGCATTTTGCATTTCTGATTATTTCCTTAGGAATGTTTAGAATTTGTTATGTTAGTTGAAAATAATTCCCCGAGAAATGGGATATGTTTCTCTTAGGTCAGTGACACATGAAGACAGGACTTATTTTCCATCAGATTCCTGTTCTGTTATTCTGAGAAAAACCAAGTCTGCCTTGCTTTTCTTTCTCTTTGTGTGACTTCCCTTTTATGCCAAGGCCACAGGGCAGCTTCTCCTGTTCACTTACTTTCCCAGTTTCTGTTCTTTATTGTTATAGGCAGGCAGCTGTGTCTGCCTCCACCAGCCTGTACTGCTCTGCTGGGCACTGCAACATGACTGAAGGCTTGTGGGAACCTATTACCTCAGTAGTGGTAGAAAGAAAAGAGATACTCAGTATAAGAATAGTAACAGAGAATTGACTAAAGGCAATACTAGAAGAGCAAGTTCTGCCTCTTTCCTATTCCTAGATACCCTCATTTACATACTAAAATGTTCTGATAATGTTTCTCAGCATTCCATTACTGAGAGGCAGTCTAACATAGTGGTCAAGAGTGAAGACTTTAACCAGACTTTAATTCAAGTTTGAATTCGTATTTGCCATGATGTTGTGTAACTTGGGCAAGTTTCTTGTCTTTTAAGTGGGTATAATAATAATAATATCTAGGGGGGCCTCCCCCGTGGCACAAGGGGTTAAGCACCGCACTATGAAGCAATCCGCAGCCTCTGCAGCACAAGTTCAATCCCTGGCGGGCCAGGGAGCAGCCCATATGGTGCAGCAGACCTCTCCTATCTTGCCTGCTGTTCCCCTTGGCAGTGTACTTCAGTCGATCTGCCTGTTCTGTTCCCCACTCTGTCTCTGGTGAATCCTCTCACCCCCTGCACCTCTGGCCTACACCCCAGTTCTTCTAGGCATAAGTAAATAAATCTTTTTAAAAAATAATATCTAGTTCATAGTGTTGTATGAGGACTAAACACGAATCAGGAATGTGAAAAATGGGAACTGGTATAAGGGGCTCAAGATTAACTTGCTTTCAGTTTAAGATAGGATATAGTTAACAGAACCCTATATATTAAGCAAATGGTAACCTCAGAACAAAACCGCCTAGAAGAAAAAGGGAGATAAAAACAGAATCCAAACACCACACAAGGGCTAGCTTTCAAAATAAAAGCAGAAAGAACAAGAAAAGAATAAAAGAACAGATAAAAATGCAAAAACACCCAGGTAACAAATAACAAAATAGCAATATGCTTGTATATCAATAATTTTTCTAAACTTCAGTGGTCTGAACTCACTAATCAAAAGGCACAGAATGACCAGTTGGATCAGAAACCAAAACCTAACTTTCATTTGTCTCCAGGAGACCATCTGACTCCAAAGATAAACATAGACTCAAAGCAAAAGGTTGGAAAACAATCCTGCAAGCAAATGGTATACTTTACAAAAGCAAGGGCAGCCATACTTAAATTAGATAAAATATGCTTCCAGCTAAAAAAGGATCAAGGGACGAGGATAGACATTGTAGAATTAAGGGATTAATAACATAAGGAAAACCTAATGCTCATATTTATGTAACAAAAGAAAGGGCATCAAAATACGTAAAGCAATGATAAACTTAAAAACAGTCATTGAAAACAACAACAGTAGCAGGGTACTTTAACCCCCACTTAACATCAATGGACAAATCAACCAGACTGAAAATGAATGATGAAAGAACAGCCTTAAATGAGGAATTAGAACAGATGGGCTTAATAGACATTTATAGGTACTCCACTGCAAAAATGCTAAGTGCACTTTCTTCTCTGGTACACATAACAACCTTCTCAAAGATAGACTATGTTGGGTCATGAAACAGGTGTCAGTAAATTAGACTGAAATATCAAGTATCTTTTTCTGATTTCAATGGTATGAAACTAGAAATCAAAAAATGATAGTATGTAGGGACCAAACTATATGCTACTGAATGACTATTGGATTAATGAAGCAACCAAAAACCCTGGATCAGACAGTTTTACTAGAGCATTGTATCAGACTTCAAAGATGAACTAAGGCCTATCCTTGTCAAATTCTTTGAAAAAATTGAAGAGGAAACAGTTGCAAATACGTTTTGTGAGACCAACATTACCTTGACATCAAAAGCAAACAAGGATATCAGAAAAAAAATGAAAATTACAGACCAATATCCTCAAAGAGATAGATACAAAAGTCTCAAGCAAATCTTGACAAAGCAAATTCAATAATACACTAAAAGGATCACATACTGACCAAGTGGAATTTATTTCGGGGATGCAAGGATAGTTCAACATATGCAACTCAATTCATGTCATTCACCACAAAAACAAAAGGAAAGAAAAAAAGTCATGTTATCATATCAGTACATGCCAGGGAAACATTTGAGAAAATTTAACATTCATTTATTTTAAAAAGTCTCTTAAAAAAGGGGGGATAGACAGAAATTACCTCAACATAGCAAAGACCATCTGTGACAAACCTACAGCTCACATCATACTCAATGGTGAAAAACTGAAAACTTTTCCTCTGAGAATGCCCACTCTTGCCATTACTATTAGCATAATGTTGGAAGTCCTAGCTAGAACAATTAGGCAAGAGGAAGGAATAAAAAGAATTCATTTTAGAAAATAAGAAAGCTTTTCACTTTTTTTTGTAAAAGATTTATTTATTCATCTATACAAGCACTGGGTACAGTTAGAAGTGCGGGAGGGTCAGAGAATCCACCAGAGCCAGAGCGGGGAGCACAACAGGCAGACCGACGAAGTACACTGCTGAGGGGAGCAGCGGGCGGGCAGGAGAGGTCTGTGTGCCATGTGGGACCCTCTCCAGTGGTCGGGGATTGAACTGGCACTGCAGAGGCTGCGGGCAGCTTCACAGCCCAGCACTCAACTGCTGTGCCACTGGGGAGCCCCGAAAGCTATCACTTTTTACAAAAGACCCTGAATAGCCAAAGCAATTCTAAGAAAATAGAAGAATGTTATGCTCTCAGACTTCAAATTTTACTGCAAAGCAATAGTAATCAAAACAGTATGGTATGGGAATAAAAATAGACACACAGACCAATGGAATAGAATTGAGAACCCAGAAATAAACTTAGACTTATATGGGCAGTTAATTTTTGACAGAGAAACCAGGAACATACAATGGCAGAGGGAAAGCCTATTCAACTAAACTGGGAAGGAAAACTAATGCAAAAATAAACTAACATCAAAATGAAAAGCTTCTGCACAACACCAAAAGATACCCTACTGAATTGGAGAAAATTTTTACACATAGTATGTCTGACCTAGCGCTAATTTCCAAAATCTACAAAGAATTCCTATAACTCAACGAAAAGAAGAAAACTCAATCAAAAAATGAGTAGAAGAGCTAAATAGACACTTCTCTAAAGATGACATACATCTGACCAACAGGCACCTGAGAACATGCTCATCATCTCTTCTTATCAGGGAAATACAAATCAAAACCACAATGAGATACCACATCGCACTTATGAGAATGGGCTATATAAAAAAGACCAGAAACAGTAATTGGTGGTTAGGGGGTGGATAAAAAGGAACCTTTATATACTGTTGATAGGAAAGTAAACTGGTCCAGCTCTATGGAAAATAGTATGGAGGTTTCTTAAAACTTTAAAAATAGATCTTCCATATGATCCAGCAATAGCCCACCAGTACAAAAACTCCTGTGTTCATTGCAGCACTATTAACAATAGCCAAACTATGGAAATAACTGACATGCTCAAGTATAGATGAATGGATAAAGAAAATTAGTATATATGTGTGTGTGTGTATAGACTACATGTATGCACTATATGTATATATTCTACATATTTGGAATATACTCAGGTATTTAAGAAAAGATGAAATCTTGCCATTTGTACCTATGTGGATAGAGCTGGAAAGGATTATGCCCAGCAAATTAAGTCAGAAATAGGAAGTAGGAAGATAAGTACTGGACGGAATATGAAAAATAAAGTGAAGGAATAGATAAAACAAATCAAAATAAACCCTTGAAATATGACAGCAGAATTGAGACTACCAGAAGTGGTAGGTAGGAGAGAGGGAGCAAAGTTGGAAGGGGTCTTAATGGACTATGGAAGGTTATTGCTACTTTGGTGGTAGGCATTGTCTGATAACATTTGTGGAGGTGTGAATCTATAGCCCTAAAACATATGTAGTGTTATAAATCAGCCTCACATTAATACATGTAAAAATAGAAAACACAGCAGAACAAAATAATCAGAAATGTTGACCAATGTTGTAACATAATGTTATTAAATGTCATTATGTTACATGGACCTCTTTTGAAAAATGAAAATACTCCTGAAATAATGCCAACAAATAATCACTTAATATAATGTGAATTGATTTAAATAAATTGCTTCTTCTCTAGCCTGAGTTCAATTCCATAGAACTCTTTATTTGGAAGGGTGGTCTTTACCCTTAAGAAGCTTATATTCTGGTAGGGAGAGACATACTTGTCAGCAGATAGTGAAGCACAGTAGTAGAGATACATACCTGACATAGTGGTGATGAGAGGAGGCATAATCATCAGAGGAGGGTATCCTTGAGCTGGGTATCACAGGGTCTGTGGATAAATGGCAGGGAATGAACAGGTTGTTAGAAGAGAGAAAAGTGATTATTGCAACCATCACAGATACCAGTTTAAGGACTCCATTCTCACAAACATTCAGTTTTTATAATGATTTATTGATCAAAACAAACAAGCTTTCAGATGTTTTTTGTCTCAGTTGGGGAGTAGCAGCTTGTTAGAAAGCAACATTGTGCACTAGGAATGACAGTTTCAATTGGTGCTAATCTAAATTGAATTGATTTATGTTGACTGGAGGATGCTTTGTTGAGAAGGAGTCTGAGGTCACAGCTGAGGAAAGTGAGAAAGTGCAGTAACTGATGAATGACCACCCTTAGTGTGGGAGTCAGGAGGTCTGACAGCACCTGACAATCTGTGTTTGAGTCTTGGTGCTGCCACTTTTGGACAGTGTGAAACTCTGTGCTTCACTATCCTTGTCTGTAAACTAGGGATAGATAGTGAAAGTGCCTATTTCTTAGGTTGTTGTGACAAGTAACGGAATTATTACATACAAAGTGTTTAGAACAGTGCCTGACACATTGCAAGCACTCAATTAATGTTAGTTACTACTATCTACTAGTTTATTTTCAAATAAAATTAATATAAAACCCAAAGGAATTCTGTAAGCTTCTTGATACTGTTTTTTTCTTTTATGTTGTAAATGCCTGTACAGTAGGCTGCTAACTTAGATATCCTCAGGTCTTTGAATATTTGGCGTACAGTATAGTTTGAAGACTATTTTTCTGATATAATGTTAATTCTAGGGCTAGAGTTTAAGTTGGAATATCTGGTGGATGGGCAACCTGGGCTTAATTTTCATTGTTTCACTCTAATTCAGTGTGTGATTGATATGCATCAATCAAACATCAATTATATAGAACAAACAAAAATCACGCAAAACACACAAATTGTGCAGCTCCACACATAATTTGGTCTGATTTAACATCCATTTCATATATGTTGTAAAAAGGATTGATGACTCTTTTTACATCTTGCTTTTAACCTGTGAGTGGATCCTTTTCTTCTTAGGGGTTCATGTGGGATGTGGCTGAGGAACTGAAGGCTATGTTGGTGTTTGCTGAGCATCGATACTATGGAGAATCCCTTCCCTTTGGTGCTGACTCATTTAAGGTTAATATACTTTTTACTTTTAAATTAAAAAAATTTTTTTTTTTTTTAAAGTTTGTAGCATTTTCTATCTACATGTCCCAATGTGAGGAAGAAATGATGTTGTGTTGGGCAACATCACACTGACAGAGAAACGGGAATCATGGAGCAGGCTACATAATGCAAGATGCTGCTGAAGAGCAAGATCCTGGCCCTTTTATTGACACTCAGTATTGGTTGTAAGGGGGAGGAGCAAAAGGAGATTAAGGGGAAGGAGATTATAGAAAAGGGAAGGGTGTAGAAGATTAGGGATTGTGAATCTGCCCTCCAGGCACTTCTTATCTACTTGATGACACACCCTAATCCCCAGCCATGGTTTTAATCTTATCAACAAGGCCATCCACTGATCAGCTTCTGGGGTCCCTTGTCATACATCGATCCTGGCCCCCCGGGTGTTCACAGTCATACCTAATGATGTATATAAGTTGGGAGTACATGTTATGCATGTGTTATGCATTGGTCCTCAGCTCCCCAGGAGTTCTGTACATACCTCTTGATGCATAACCTTCCCAGTGTGATCCAGCTTTGTGCTCTTGTTTGATTTGAAGGGCTGAAGGGTTGGGCTCCTGTACCTAACTGGCTGGGCCATTTTGACTGTGTTTAGGTGACAAAATGGCGGCCCAATAGGCTGCCTAGGAGTAGCAGGCCTACACAATGATAGCTTTAACTTAGAACTGCTTAAAATTTTAATAATTTTGTATTTAATCTTTCTTCTTATATACAATTTAAACAAATTGTTATAGGGCAGCCCCCATATAAAACGGGGTGCCTGGCTGTGGGTCCTCACCCGGGCGCTTAAAAGGACTTATCAATACTCTACTGCAGGCACACGCTAAAGGTTAATAAAAGGTTTATTTACAAGGGAAGGGGAAATGAGGAAATGTACAGCTCAGGGAGAAAAGTGGGAGACAAAGTTTTAAATGCGTCCTACCTGATCCGCCGATCAGGAATTCCAAAATGGCACTCTGAGAGCTGGCCACAAGCCAGGAGCCGTGAAGCCAGGAGGCGAGCGACAGAGCGAGAGACCCCAAGGCCCACGTGTCTGGTTTTATACCAACCCTGGCTGCTTAACTCCACCCTCAGGTCCCAGCCACCTTCCCTTTGGTGGTGACGGGATTTGTCTTTTCCAATGTCCTGATGGCTTTGGTCTGGAGTTGGGGTGGAGTCCACAAAGCCTGTATGGGATTAACGCAGGACATCCTTTCCCCCTAACAATTTGAGGTTTTTAAAAATCATTATAATTTTAATGTTTATCTGTTTTTAGCTCAGTGTGATGAGGCTAGAGACAGTGGAGGGAACTTCATTTTTTAAAAAAAGTCATTAAACAATTCTTTTTTATAAATTATACACTTAAATTATTGGACCTGTTAATGGAACAAAGACAACAAGCACTCAAATGCTCATTATGTTTTCTTAAAAAGGTGTTTTTCAATAAAATAGAATGATCAAAATAAGGAAAAATGATTCAGTGAGGCCAACCGGTTGCTTGGATTCCCTCTAGCCTTGTTCTCACTAGGAGCTTTTGCCTTTGCCATAGATACTATGCCTAATAAACCTGGACACTTTTCTTTCATCTAAGTTACTCATGTACTACCTTGTGATTCTGGCAATGTGAAGTTGTCGTATGTATTTACTATTAGTTAATATTTTTCTTTGAACAACTTACTTTTCAATGTTGGTACTATCGGTAGTGCTCTAAATGGGACACTGAGCTCCATCTCTCTACATTGCAGTGCAGAAATTGTCCTTAGGCAGAGACCTAGATGACCATGGAACTTAGTTTATGAGTTTTCCTTCTTTCAACAATCAGTCTTGTGTTGTCTTTTTTCCGATGCCTGAAAAGAGTTGTTATATTTTTTTCTTTTTTAACCTCAATTTCATAGTTGTTTATAAGTGGCAGGGTAATTTGCTCTATGTGTTAGTATATCAGATATAATAATCATCTTTTTAATAAGGAGGGATGGTTTTATTTTTGCCGATTATTCTTCATTTTTTTACAGGATTTAGTTTACCTTTGCCTATAGGGTAGCCATTTTAGATGTATCAAGATTAGAAATAAAGTTTTTAATACAGTATTTGTTAAACTTAGCATGGTGTTTCATCACAGTTGCTGTTAAATGTTATTTACACTTTATTTCTGTTCTAAAATTTCAACAAGGTCTTTGTTAAATAGCATTTAATAGAAATTATGTTTGAATGCAAAACATATTATATGCTCTTCCCACAAACTTAAAATCACTTTTTCATGAGTGGTGTAAACCAACATTTCTTTGACTGGACATTTTAACTTAATTGCCTAGCAATTCTTTTGAAGAGATGTTTATCTGACTTTTTTTTTTTTTTGCTGGATCTGTGCTGTGCCTAAGCTGCTATTATTTATACTCATATTTATACTCATGTTCTTTATTTTTCTTTAGGATCCCAAACACCTGAATTTTCTGACTTCAGAACAAGCTCTGGCTGATTTTGCAGAGTTAATCAAACACTTGAAAAAAACAATCCCAGGAGCTAAAAATCAGCCTTTCATTGCAGTAGGGGGATCTTATGGAGGCATGCTTGCAGCCTGGTTCAGGATGAAATATCCTCATATGGTGGTTGGGTAAATACATTTATGTTGGCTATGGGCACTTCTTAATGATTGTTGAGGCAAAGTTAGAGATTTGTTTTGGGTAAAACATGCTACATCTGTTGTACTGAGATTTCACTATCTCATGAATAGTTATTTTTCTCGATGTCATTTTAATATTTTTCAATATAATTCAATATTCATCTCAATGTCTCTCATTTACACGCAATATCAGGTTCAATGTTAGAATTCAAATTTGCTGAGTTACATCTTTTCTTCTTTTTCTTACTACTTAGTGCTCTTGCAGCCTCTGCTCCTATCTGGCAGTTTGAGGATCTGGTGCCTTGTGATATATTTATGAAGATTGTAACTAAAGATTTTAAGAAAAGTGGCCCAAATTGTTCAGAGAGCATCCGCAGGTCCTGGGGTGCCATTAATCGAATTGCTGCTACAGGTAAGCTTTAAATGAGAGAAAGAAATCACAGGTTTTTAACATTCCATTTGTTAAATTCAAGACTTATCATTTTCTCAGTAAACTTTTTATTTTGGTATAACATACATATTTGAGTGTAGCATGCAGAAAAGTACACAAATCAAAAAATATAGGATGTTTTTACAAAGTGAATACATAGCGTGATTGGCATCCAGATCAATAAATCCACTAATGCCCCCTCCAGCACTTCCTTGGCATCTCCCAGTCTAATCACTTTACTGACTCCTAGAACCATATGTTAATTTTGCTTACCCAAGATATTTTTTAGTAATTGGAATTGCAAAATATGTTTCTTTCTGGTGTGGACTGTCTTTGTGCTCATTGCTGTTTGTCAGATATATCCATTTATTTCATTCAGCTATAGTTTTTGCATTCTCAATACTCTTTAGTATTCCATTTGTTTGTTTGTTTATTTCAATAGTGTATTTAGAAGGGGAATAATTCAAACTATTAAATCTGGTAAGTTTCACAAACTAGGCAATTTATCTATCATGGGATGATCCTATTGCTTTAAAAATATTTTTATTGAATGTTGAAAAAACATTCTTGGGAAAATGGTATAGTAGATTTGAAACAATGCAAAGCTGGGGAATGTCACAGCTGCTGGGTTCTCCCTCTGCTCTTTCAACTGAAAGACATGACTCAGGCTTAGGGTGCAACAACAAATGGGGTTTATTAACAAAGGAAAAATTGGGAAAAAGGAAAGTTTCTATAGCCACAAATGGCTGACTCTCCTACTTCAGTGTCCACAGTGTCCAGTAGTCCAAATCAAAAACTGCTCATGCAAGATGGCATTGTCCCTTTGATGAGGGCTTGGAGCTGGTGGCACACCTGGTGATGGACCAGGATCCAACTCATGGGGGCAGCTGGAGGTGATCACAGGTAGTGGTGCTGAGGTGGCACTCCAGCAGCCAGCAGCAGCTATCTAGAGGCTGGGCTAGACAGTGCCAGATGCAATAGCATCAGTAGGCAGTGCCAGAATGTCAGAAGTGATGAACACCTCATAGAGGTGGTGCTAGAGGACCAGGCACCAGTGTTACAGCTCTTAGAGATACCAGGCATAAGGCAATGGTGCCAGTCAGCAGGCAATGTCAGAGGCAATGCTGGAGTTCTGATGTGAAGGTCTTGAGGGTCTGCATAGTCTGTGAAGGTCTCAGATTTCTGCAGGGGTCTGAGAGGTCTGTGAAGGTCTCAAAGGTCTGTGGTCCGCATCAAAGATCTTTCCCAGAGAGGGTCCAGAGGAATGTGTGTCTAAAGCTGTCTGAAGGAGACGAATTAGTGCCTATCCTTCACAAACTCTTCCAAAAAATTGAGAAGGAAGGGACAATACCAAACACGTTCTATGAAGCCAACATTACACTAATACCAAAACCAAACAAGGACAACACAAAAAAAGGAAAACTACAGGCCAATCTCCCTAATGAACACTGATGCAAAAATCCTCAATAAAATTTTAGCTATCAGAATCCAACAATGCATCCATAAGATAATTCACCACGACCAAGTAGGATTCATTCCAGGGACACAAGGATGGTTTAACATCCGAAAATCAATCAACGTTATCCAACACATCAACAAAAAGAAATACAAAAACCATATGATAATATCAATAGATGCTGAGAAAGCTTTCGACAAAGTGCAACACCCATTCATGATAAAAGCCCTTGAAATTCTTGGGATACAAGGAACATACCTCAACATCATAAAGGCCATCTATGACAAGCCAACAGCCAGTATCATTCTCAATGGTGAAAAAGCTGAAAGCAATTCCATAAGATCTGGAACAAGACAAGGATGTCCACTCTCACCACTGCTTTTCAATATAATACTGGAAGTCCTAGCCACAGCAATAAGACAAGAGAAAGACATCCAAGGAATCCAAATAGGAAAAGAAGAAGTCAAACTATCACTATTTGCAGATGATATGATAATATACAAAAGAGAACCCAAAAAACTCCACAGAAAAACTAATTCAACTCATCAATCAGTTCAGCAAAAGTGGCAGGATACAAAATGAACACGCAAAAGTCAGTAGCCTTCCTATACACAAACAATAAATCTGAAGAAGAAGAAATCAAAAAAAACCATCCCTTTTTTATTGAAACAAAAAAATCAAATATTGGGAATAAATCTAACAAAAGAGGTAAAGGACCTATGCAAAGAAAACTATAAAACACTGTTAAAAGAAATAGAAGAAGACACAAAGAGAATGGAAAGACATCCCCTGTTCATGGATTGGAAGAATAAACATTATTAAAATGGCCATCCTTCCAAAGCAATATACAGATTCAATGCTATTCCAATCAAAATTTCAATGTCATTCTTCAAAGAAATAACAATTATTGATGAAATTCATATGGAATCACAAAAAAACCGTATAGCCAAAGCACTCCTGAAAAAAAAAAGAAGGGAAATGGAGGCATCCACACTCCCAGACTTCAAACTTATACTACAAAAGCCATAATCATTCAAAACTGCATGG